TCCTAGTAGTAAGGCACTTGTTACTAGTAGCGATGCACTTGTTACTACCTCTTTCCGACCTCTCCCAATGCCACGGGCATCACCAGCGCCACCGTCGCCAAGATCCCACGCCTTGCCGGCCACCTAGGCCTTGGCGCCCGCCTTCTGTAGGAGTTCCATGGTGTCCTGCGTTCGAACGGAGAAAACATCCCGCGGATTCTTCATTTTCAGACTTGACATGAGTACGTGAGGTTGCACGGACATGTTGACCTGCACGGGTGACGTGTTTTTTCGGCATCTGTACTCCCGCACGGGTCGGCAAACATCGTAAACAAAAAAGAACGTCCCTGCCCTCGTGTTAATTACCCCCCCAAAAAAAGGGAGGGGTTGTGGGTGAACTACGAATTGGCTCCCTGTGTGGTTTACCAGTTGTGTTATTTCGGTGGGCAAGATCACCTGGAATATCATATTATGTGTTATTACATTTTACAAATATTTACAAATATATGTTATACAGCCATAAGGAGATTCGTCCCAGATTCCCACACATCCAGGCACGTTCCTTATCGAAGACCACATCCATGAGATATATTTGGGGGATCGGTTGATTGGAAAGGGACCAAGTTCACCTGGCAACCAAAGGCGAGAGCAGAAATCGGTTTTCACAGTGCCTTCATCTTGTTCTTCTGCGCCAGTGCCAAAGGTGTCTGGCCTCAGCACTTTCAGCGATTGCTGCCGGTTCTGGGAAGCTTGCTTGGCTTGGGTTGCTTAGGCCTGTTTAGGGCTAAGCCAAAGAATACCAACCGCTGTGTTGTTTGGACGATTTTTAGATCCCAATGGACCCCCCCTTCTGAATCGCCACGCTGGGCGCTTCTGTGCTTCACGAGGACACAGGTGATCTTGCTGAAAATTGAATTTGCTTACTGGAATTGGGAGGCCTGCACTGGAAGAATCAATGCATATTTGCTCTATATATGCAACAGTTTCTGGGGTGTTCCACAAAAAGATCAAGCAAAAGCCGGGAAATAGATCATCTCTCTAGGACATTGCGATTCTAGAACAACTTAGAGAACTGTCATTGTCATGTTGGATGCCACCATGAATATCCCACTCTACAGCCCTTTGAAATTCAACATTGACAAATAGATTTTGTGCGTGACATCAAGCGGATTACACAAGTCCCAATGTTATTTTCTTAGAAGAAATCGTCAAGATGGTGAGATAGCCCTGTTAGCAACATGAGCAAATATCATTAAACAAAGAATTCCATAAAGATAAATTCCTCCGGCTGTTCAATACAGCCTTTTCGCTCACGCAAACTTCTAGACGGTGAGCTGGATGTTTAACCTGTCTGCGTCTGGTGGGGGAAACGTGCGTCTGCAGGTTCCTGCCAAGCCTGTCAACAGGTGCCCGTGCCCTGGGTGTTTTGCTTGTTGAGGTCAAGCTTCGCCTGGTCGCCATCGGGCGACATATAGGTGACACTGGTTGGTTCTTCAAGGTCGGGAGAGGCTGGATATGTGTGGATAACCCACATGTGAAATGTAATGTGTTCCTGTTCTTGCCGGATTTGGATCATGGAACTGGTCACAATTGAATGACAAGGTGAAAGATCAGGTTCAAAGGCTTATCAGTCAGGAAATCATGGATTTAGATTCTGAAAGCCTAAGTACTTTCCTGCAAATGCTCATGCACCACAGATCTTAGCCTGTATAGAGGCAGAATTTGGTAGAAACCCAAGGTCCAGTGCTCCAATGATACTGACCTCCCACACTGCCGACAAGTTCTTGTGCACCGCTTGAGACCTATCAGAATCAACCAGTTCTTCTTGCAGTATGTTGTTGAATCATGTTGAATCATTTCTTGCCGGACGAACCGTTGAACATCGTTGAAATGAAGAAACACATGATCACGCGGACGCGTTCAGACTCGCGTGCTTGGCGACATGCGGTCCTGGGCGGTAAGGACCTGGGACAAATCATGTAAAAACCAGACTGGATGTGGGCATTCCGAAGGCAGATTCCCACACCTGATTCAGGGCACCTTTGATCCAGCAGTTGCCGTGTGAATCTGAGATTGCCTCTCTGTCATGTCCCATCATTTCTCCAAAGACCTTTTCGCTCAATGGAAGCTACCAGGTCCTCGGCTTGGGCTTGGGGATCTTCTCGACCAAGTCCTGTGCGCCCTGGAACCCATCCAAAATTCCTGTTAAACCGTGCCGCACTGTCGAACAAACGTGGAGGTCGAATGTCCATAGTTTTTTGCGGCTGCAAACGTAAACTGATCCATTGGATCATGTCTAATTCACGAGCAATTCCCTGGAAAATAAAAGGTTACTGTAACCGGACTTTCCCCTTTACTGTAACCGGACTTTCCCCTTTACTGTAACCGGACTTTCCCCCTTTTCATGTTTCGTGGGGAAACCAATCCCCAAGGGAAAAAGTGACAGATTATCCCCTGGCGTATCAGGTCAAGTGCCAATGACCCATCCAAAAAGATTTGAGGACCAACAGGATAAACTACTAGCCATTACTAGCGTCTTGCTACTAGTAGCGATGGCATCCACCCTAGTAGCGATGGCCTCCACCCTAGTAGCGGTGGCCTCCACTCTAGTAGCGATGGCCTCCACCCTAGTAGCGGTGGCCTCCACTCTAGTAGCGATGGCCTCCACCCTAGTAGCGTTGGCCTCCACTCTAGTAGCGATGGCCTCCAACCTACTAGCTTCTTGCTACTACTTACAGGACAAACACCACTATGGAAAAAGGAAATAGGTCAAACATGGTCAAACGGTGGTCAGACCAACCTGCGCTCAAATGACATGCAGGAACTCTTGAACTAACAAAAGGCTGCCCCGTGCCTTCAAGAAGTAGTCACACAACTCCTTCCTTCCATAGGCCGCAGCCTCATTGAGGGCAGAAAAATATTCTCGTGCTTGGCTCCAGGCCATTGTGTCCCGATTGGATCCAAGTGACTGAAAACTACCCGAACGGAACATATCTGAGTCTGAAAGCTGTCTGAGCACTGAGAAACCTCCAAAACTCATGAAACAGGTCAGCGAAGGTCCAAACCATCCACCATGATTGTGCGGTATGCAGGATTTGTCTTTTGGCCGCCACAGACGGTGCAGAAAGACCACCCTTCCGACCGACGGTGGAAAATACGATTCGTTCCTTCGGGCTCAACGGTTGCCAGAGATCGCCGGGTTGTGTTCGTCGGCTTTGGGCCTTCGGCCACTTCAGAGGTCGACCAAGAGAGACATGCGGCGTCATGAATCGTCAGGTGTGTTGGTGTTTCCGTACTTTCTCAATCCTCAATCCACCAGATTCCAAGCGGCATAGTGGAGCGCGTTGCCACCACTGTTGTCCACCTCTGTGGCATTGGCCTCACGAGGAGTAGCCCGAAGAGCGGAGTCGCCCGTCGACGGCGTCACCCCTCTCCCCTTTCAAACCTTAGCTTCTTGTTACGTTCGTAGCGATGGCCTCCACCTAATAGCTTAGAAGGAAAGCCAATCACAGACGCAGATTGTGTGTTGGTCAAACTTCCCATGAATTCAGCCCATGGGTTTCTTTAAGGACCTCGTGCACCAAGAGTCACCAAGAGACTTCGAGCCTTGCTCTCCAGGAGCTTCTTCACCACATGCGTGCGGTTCGCTCCAATGGCGTAGCCCAGGCAGCTGATGCCTTGGACGAGACCGGACACGGCAGCCATGGCTCGGAGCCGGTCGGTGGAGCAGCGCGGGGTGTGTGCCGTTCTCCTTGTGTCCGAGTGCAGCTGTAGGGCGAGAGAGCGTCCCTGTTTGCCGTTCTCCACTTATAAAACAGCATATAGATCATCCCGATCAAGGTACAGAGCAAACGATTTGACCAGGTCTACAAGTTCGCCATACACGGAGTCCAAATCAGCTCTACATCATGTTTCGTCCGCCAAACATCCATCTCACTCGGGACATGTCTGGACTCCCGGGAACCGATCCAATGGATCTTTCGAGGACCGATCCGAGCAGCCTCGCCTCACCTCTCCAATCACGTACTGTTCGAAAGAACTTTAAAATGTCTGGGCCTTATAAAGAAAAGTGGAACAGTACAATACTTAAAGATAAAAAAACATTATAAAACTACTATATATATATAACTGCGTTATGCTGAGAGTGAAACACGTGATTGATTATATTATGGGATTGAATCTCTGAGTCATCCCATCGTCCCATGTTCGCAGAAACCAGACATGCCCTCTTCGGGCTATGAACAGGATCGGCGGGTGCGACACACTTCGAGAACCGAAGCGCTCAGGACGTGAGTCGTGAGTAGTCGTCCCAGTTTCAGTGCGTCAAAACAAGAGATTCCTGATTCCTGGAAGCCAAGTTTCCCTTCGCGTCCTTCTCATCGATGTTCCGCTTTTCCTGTCACGAGAGATGTTCCCACTATGACTGGAATGCGCTGACCCAATCAGCCACCTTGGGATCTTTTCTGCTTGAAGCTCCACAGAAATCACCTGATGTGTTGTAATTCCGGCTGGGTTCAACAAACCTCGGCTGGATGGTGTGACGCTAGTGCAGAAACGAAGGTAGATCTTACGAATGTCGAGCAATGTTATTCTCATTGGACACTAGAATATTGGAGAACACCTTATGGACTTGCCACCGGCAGAATGTATAAGGCACAACAGCCGATGATGTTCCTTGGAACCAAGCTGAGCAGTATATGAATTGCTCCCTAAATCCTAAGCTTCTTATCTGGCCACTATCAAGTTCATCCCCCAACCGATGCTTCGTCATCTGCCCGGTCTTTGGCGCTCCACTTTCCCGACCGGTCCGTCCCGTCGCACCCGAACGTGTTTAATCCGATCCTGGAAGAAGAAGGTTCCTGGTGGTTTGATGCCGTGTTGTGACGCAAAAAGAGAAGAGCTTGTTTTGTTGTTGGGTACGTGATTTGACGAAACATGGCACAGAAATCATCTAGTACTGATAAGTAAGTAGCTGTTTGATTCAAGGTTGTCGCTCAAGTTCTGCCTCATCACCTTGGCTCGCTTGCAGGTAATCTTCCAAGGTCTTCAGGTCACCTGAGAACCCCGCCGGGACAACGGGACAACGGGTGGGATGACGCTTTGCACAGCCAGGGCACGATTTGGGCACATGAAATGGCATCCTGGATGGAAACAGAAACAGAGTCTGCACAGTCTGCACCTGTCACTACAAATGGACGATTCAAAAACACCCTATATATGTAGGTACTTCTTCAATCACCCATGGATCGAAACCTGCATCTATTTTCCAAGTTTGGTTCTTCCTGCGTCACCTGGTATCCGTTGAGATCAAACAGCTTGGAGAGTCTTTTCATAGCACTCTGGAAATCGTCTTAAAGGCGAATTCCCAAAGAACCGCTTCAGACCTAGTAACTAGGGCATCGCCACTAGCAATACGAGCATTACTAGTAACAAGAAGCTACTAGTAGCTATTTGCTACTAGTAGTAATGCACTTGATACTAGTAGCGATGCACTTGTTACTAGTAGCTTCAGACGCTACATGCTCGACAGTTCCCAAAGAACATCCCTGACGAGACTCCTTATTTTTGTTTGTGCTTGGTTCCAAACACGGATGGATGTTCCAATTTTGCATGTTCTTCAACCACCCAGTCAGGTTCTGAGGAGCATCACAGTAACACATCACCAAAGACAGACCCATCTTCACCAAGCAGGGTGAGCCTCTTCCACAGGGTCGGTTTTGCGACCCAACCTGTCCACCAATCTTGGAACGGTACCAATGCCGGGTGGCCTTTGAAGCAAGCCTCTTGCAGGGTGATGGGCTTGTTCTGAATGTCCTGACCAAGGCAGAGGCAGAACGTCCTTCAAAGCAGAAAAGCCATGACCTGATGTCCGACAAGGTGGCACTGGAATAGCATAAACAAACACATCTAAATCGACCAACTCAGAGAGGTTCCTTAACCACCGCCCACTTCAATGCTTTCCAACCATGCCAAGCAAGCCCCAACCAGCAATACAGTCACATCAAAGGTAAAACCAAACCAACCTGTTCGGTCATTGGTCTACTTGTCACCGATTTCCTGTTCGCAATGACGCGGGCGTTTCTTTGGAACACTGCGAGGACTGCCGCAACTCGCCGACTGCGAGGATTCACATCGTTATTCATTATTCGCTGAGTGAACCCGAAAAACCAGACCTGGAGCAAGCTTGCTCCTACATCATGGTGCAGCGGCAAACAAGCGCATAAGATGCATAAGATCCAGAACTTCATGGGTTCAATTCCACTCTGTTTGCTGGTGATCTCCAAAGCAACGACCACAGTAAAACCCTCGTGGCAGGTCGCTGAGTTATCGGAGGTCGCTGAGTTATCGGTGTCGTTGCAGCCACTCCTACTTCTTATGTCAATTCTACATGTACTTTCACGTCAACTACAACTTCTACCACCGTGGTTCCTGGCTTCTTTCAATGCTCCGCCCAAAAAAATACTCAGCCACGATGCAGTCGCCTGCAACACGGTCTTCACCTCCTCAGGCACACCACCCATGGCGCGGCCTCAGAGCCGAGCGACCGCCGTGGCGAACGCCGTGGCCAGTCCGCGCTGCGGCGAGTACTGCTTCGAGTCCAGTGCAACCCGTCGAGTGCATGGGAATTTAAAAAAGTTGTGCGTTCTTGTTCCTAGTAGTAATGCCAGGAGCCCCTAGTAGCGTCCTTGCACCTAGTAGTGATGCCCGTGTTCCTACTAGCTTCTTGTTCCTAGTAGTAATGCCAAGAGCTATTAGTCAGTAGCGTCCTTGCTCGTTCGTAGCGATGCCCTTTGTTACTAGTAGCTTCGTGTTACTAGTAGCAAGGCCAGGAGCAACGGTTGATGATAATCTAAATGCATCTTTAATGATGTCGCGTTGATCAGAATCAGTTCAACAGTTCTTTTGAGGTAAAGCGATGCTTGATCTTTGGAAAGGCTTGCCAACGAAGTGGGCTACGCCAATAGCATTTGGCATCAGGAGCTAAGTGAGTTGATTTGCCCGGCAGCTCCCCTAGCCACAACCATGGCTCGGGTCAAAATCTTGAGCAGCTCCTTCTGTCTCTTCGTGATGCGAAGGGACACTGAACTCAGCCGGAGAATCTCATAGCCTGAAAGTTCCCATGGGTCCAGGAAGCTTTGGTCCCATAGAAGCTACTAGTAACAAGTGCATCGCTTCTAGTAACAAGTGCCTTACTAGTAGTAACAAGATGTATTAAATTAATAGCTACTGTAACATTGTTACTACTAGTAAGGCACCTGTTACTACTAGCGTGGCACTTGTTACTAGCATGAAATTCCATGATGTTCCGTTGCCAAAATTCCTCTAAGCGAACGTGTTCAGTCCAACCTGCTGCCATGTGTATGAACGGGGCAGCACTGTCAGCTCACCAAACCCTTGAAATGCCAAGGTAGTGGCATATGTACGTCAAGCGGCTTGAGATCCACGAGCCATGTGGGTTCTGAGTGGGTTGAGGTTTAATAGACCCATCTCCGGTGAAAGAAACTGCTGGTCATCGGAAGCAAATCTCCTTAAAACCTGTATACACTCCTTGAAATAAAAATGGTTACGTGGAGGTTGTCCATGACAACTACCTGTTTGGTTTTCGGATTTCATGTCATCCGAAATCGGGGCCATACCATCCACGTAACCATGATTTCAGTGAGGGCAACAAATTAAAGAAAGGGATGGGCATGCGCCGCAAGCATGGATTTGCATCGTCTGGCATCGTCTGGCATCGTCTGTGAAGCCACGGTGTGGACACCGAACACCTCGACGCGACCTCGACACTGCTGGGCTCCAGACTGATCTTGAGCATCAAAGGCTCCTTAGGATGGAGAACGGGATGGAGAACGGGGACTCCCAGGCTCCTGTGAGTCATTCATTTAGAGAACCAGGTGAAAACCAGATGGATCTTTCGGGATCTTTGGGACTGCTACCGAGATTAGTTCAAAAGATCAAGGACCGGAGCGGTTTGGGCAAACCAGGACCCCGTTGGTTGGGTTAGACTAGTACTGTAAGTGAAGGGGAGGTTCTGAAGAGAAATGGTCAACTGGAAAACGATTGAAGAATCTTGAAACGTTGACAGCTCTGTAAACATCCAGAGATGAATAAAAGACATAGCCTTTACATCCCTTGACCAGTTCCTAGCATAGCAACTTTGATGATGTGCACATCGAAACTTCATGCTTCATGTAATGTTTAAGCGATACATGTTCATACTGGGGTTGTCATAGGGGTCATGGAGTCATACACTCCATAAAGGGAGCATTGATGAGCATTGTATGTAGTAAAGTTCTAGACAAAGAAAGCTTTAACAACCAAGAAAACACTCTAGAGTTGCTAAAAAATACCTTCAACATGTACCTCATCCTTGCCGCGTGCACCAAAACAGTAGATGACCTGGGTAGATGCAAAAAAATATTAGTTGTGGGTTTATGCGGATGCTTTGCCAGCTGCACAGCCAAAGCCTGGTAGCAGGGAACAAACCCACCAACCCATTTTGGGGGTGGCTCCCTTGTTTCGATGCACATCCGTGCCAACAAACATCCACCTTGTGCTGTCTCCCAGTGCTCTTGCAAGGCAAGTACTTCTTGATTTCCCTGAAAAGTGAAATTAGATTGTAACATCTGGGAGTCGGAGTAGCTTGAAATGAAGAAAAGAACGCAGTTGGCAACATTGAGAGATCTGAAAGTCACACAACAAAACCACTCGCTTGTCAGAAAAGTATCCAAATAACTCTCACAAACGAATCTCTGCCGTCTATGTCTTGCCGCACCCAGTTCAAGTGGTTAAAGTCCTGTGCAAGAACCAGCAAAGAAACCGTAGATGGAAAGTATGACTGCACTGTCCGATCACTCCGCAAGGGTTCAACACATCCAATTTACAGTGGTTTGTGGTATTAAAGAAATAGAAAATTGCCTACTTGTAAAATTTAGTAGTTGTCATTTCTTGATTCTATAATACCACACGAACCACTATGCAAGCGCTGCCCAGAGCACCGGAATTCGCCGCGGCAAACAAAAAGGGGGGTCACGGATCTTCTGGGGCAATGTGCTACTAGTAACAAGAAGCTACGAACGTAACAAGGGCATCGCTACTAGTAACAACCGGCATTACTACTAGTAGCAAATAGCTACTAGTAGCAAGACGCTACTAGGACGATGTGCCGAGCTGCATTGTGATAATGCTTCATGGCTGCCGGGTTGCCACCCCGCTTGATGTCCTCCAGGACCAATCGAACAAATCGAGTTTCCCCCCTTCGGTGGCGCAGGTCGGTGTTGAGGTTGGATCTATTCCCGTTCCGGTTTGATGAGACTGTGCATTAGATGAGACTCGTCTCATGGAACGTTTTTTGTTTCGCTTTGACGAAGCCGGAGAGGAAAATAAATTGAAGATCATGAATACATGGTTGAACAAACCAATCCACTGAATGCCAGGTAGCCACTATGCGTTGCAATCGAGGGCTTATTGGCCGGCTTTTGCCGTTTCCATCCGGTTCCTGCTTTCTGGAACTACTGCAAGTGGTCTGGCAGGCAAACTCGGCCCAATCAACATGAACCCCAACCTCATTATATAAATCCTGTATGCTCTAGAGCAAGAATCCAGCCATTCTTTCTTAAACGCAACTGCTTGGTCTTCCAAGCCTCGCCTCCATCGCCCGGCCACCCCACATCGGGTCCTCAAAGATGTGTGCCAGGTCCGGGTTCTTCTCTAAGGAGTTGAACTTCCCGGTGATCATCTGAAAAGACACCGCGCCGTCAGCCGGAAAAGGATGGCTTGGCGCCGTGGGCTTTCTTCGCACAGCGCAAGGCAAAGCGGAAAGGGAGAGAAATTCCAGGGTTCATGCATCAGGCAGGTATTTTGGAGGAATGTATATCCTCAGGGATCCAAATGGATCCAGGAAGTTGGACTCCAACCTCACCTGACCTATCCCTACCAAACACCTCAAAGGGCATGTGAATTCCTGGCCTATTCCCAAAAATACGGATTCGCTGGCAAACATTGTTTGCCAAACTGACCTACAAAGACAATAGCTGCATTCACAATCCGTTTTTGAACTCCGTGAAACCATGCGAAACCAAAGGTCTTTGAAGCCCAAGGTTTTGGGCAAACTGCATGTTGGGTTGGACGCCTTTGTGGCAGGTTCGTCGGATACAAATCACTTCAAAAGACCAGGTGTTGGAGGTAATTAATCTCTGCATTCCAGCTTTTGTACCAGTCTTATACTGTATGACCTTTATGTACAACCACCCACCGACCACTCTGTCTCCCAGCTCAAACAGACAAATCTTGGGCCTCATCTCCATTGCTCAGCCGGGTGTTGTAATACTCCTTGGCCGGCGATACCGCGATACCGACAACTCCACCGTCCGTCCAGATCCGTTCAAAACAGCTCCGCTCGCTGTTTCATCTCATAGCCGACATAGCGATGGCCTCCAACTTACTAGCGATGGCCTCCAACCTAATAGCAATGGCCTCCCACCTACTAGCGATGGCCTCCAACCTACTAGCGATGGCCTCCAACCTA